CGATGCTTTTAAATTCCGCACCGCAAAGCACACCGAGTCTCGCCTTCGCAAACCATGGTCCTGCTCCAGCGGCGCGCCATGCTCCGGACCATGTCGTCGCTGCTCCTCGACGGCGGCGGCCTGGCGACGGGCGCGGCCCTCGAGTCCACGCGGTACGTGCTCTTCGTGCGCCACGCCGAGTCCGAGCACAACGTCGCGGAGCGGACGCACGACTGGCGGCGGCTCCTGCTCCAGCGGGACCACGGCATCACGCCGGCGGGCTGGGGCCAGTGCGCCGCGCTGCGGTGCTCCATCGCGGACGAGCTCCGCGACGACGCGAGCGTCTGGGCGCGGCGAGACCTCCGCGTCTACGCGTCGCCGCTCACCCGCGCGGCGCAGACCGCGCTCCTCTCGCTCCGCGACGTGCCCGCGCTCGCGCGCGGCGGCCTCACGCTCGTGCCCGAGGCGCGCGAGCTCGGCGCCGGGCCCGTCTACGGCCGCGACTGCCTCGGCGAGGCCGTCGGCGGCGCGGGCATCCGGGACCGGCTCCTCGCGGCCGCGGCGACGGCCGCGGGCGCGGACCGCGACGCCTTCGCGGCGCTCGTCGACGCCACGCCCCTCGACGCGTCGCGCTGCGGCGGCAAGTGGTGGTCCAGCTTCGAGCCCCACGCGCTCGCGCGGCCGCGCGTCGCCGCGCTCCTCTCCGAGCTCGCGGCCGGCGACGGGCCCGCGGTCCTCGTCTGCCACAGCCTCCTGCTGCGGGCCATCTTCCGGGACCACGGCGCCGACGACGCGACGCGGGACCTCGCCGACGGCTTCGTGCCCAACTGCGGCGTCGCGTCCGTCGAGGTCCGACGGTACGACGACGGCGCGGTCGACGTCGCCGGCGCGCGCCTCGACTTCGGGGGGCGCGTGGTCCACGCGCACTAAGGTTCGCGGCCTTTGCCGTCGGACCTGCCTCGCGCCGCGAGATGGTCGCGTCCATCTCTAGGACACGCCGGACGGCGTGTCGGACGGCCGGCATCGTCGCGGCATCTAGGCGTAACTCCGACTGTTTCGAGCGCACTCGAGACCTGCTCCTCCTCCGCGCGCGCCCGCTGACGCGCGCCGCGCAACACAGAACGCCACCATTCAGCCGTCGTTCCAGCCGTCCTACGCGCGCACGATGGACGACGGGTCCATCGACGTGCCGGCCTTGGCCAAGGGCCTGAACCTCGTCGTCGGCGCGCTCATCGCCATCTGCGCCGTCGTCTTCATGGCGTCGAACGGGTCCTACCTCGCCGTCGTCGTCGGCCTCGAGACCATCGTCTTCGCCGCGCTGCTCCTCATCGTCGAGCTCCAGGCGGACCCGGCGCTCGCCACCGTCCGACAGGTCGCGCCGTTCGCCAACACGCCGCGCGGCGAGGTGCTCGTGTCCGTGCTCACGGGCCTCTTCCTCTTCGGCATGGGCGCCTTCGGCATCGCCATGGGCGTCATCCTCTTCGCCGCCGTCGGCCTCAACGCCTACGTCTTCGTCGCGCACCCGGAGGCCGTCGCGGACCGCCAGGACCCGATCCCGCAGACGGACCAGTACAGCGACCCGAGCACGCTGTCGAACCCGCTCTACCCCGACGGCTCCGAGCCCTACCAGCCGTCGACCCAGCCGAGCACGGCGGACCTGTAAGAGAGGCGCGGGGCGAAGGCGGGGGTTTACGCCGCTCGGCGCGGTCATTCGAGGCGGCGACGGGCTTACGCGCGCTCAGAGCGCCTCCTCGGGCGCCCAGCGGCGCGGGTGGAGGAACGCGGCGACAAACGGCTTGACGAGCTCCGGGCCGCCGAGGTTCTCGCCGAGGCGCTCGACGACGAAGGCGCGGATGAGGTCGTCGATGGGCTCCTCCGGCGGCCAGCGGCATTGGCTCTCGTGCGCCACGCCGACGTCGTCGCAGAGGCGGACCATGAAGTCGGGCACGAAGGCCGCGCCGAGGTTGTCCGCCGCGAGCACCTCGACCTGGCGCGCGAGCACGGGAAGGAGCTGCGCCGGCAGGGGCACGTCCGTCGCGTCGTTCGCGAAGGCGATGTAGATGTGGCCTGCGCGAGCGGGGCGGGACGTTCCACGACGGGCGATTTTTCAGATAAACAGACGCGGGCGCGCCGACTGTGGAACCAGAAGTTGAGGCTGAGCGTGTCGTCGGCGAGCGTCTCGACCTGGTGCCACCAGTAGGCCGGCACGAAGAGCACGTCGCCGTCGCGGACGACGACCTCGAGCTTCGCCGCGCCGGGCCCCGGCCGCGCGTTGCGGTCCCGGCGGCTGTGCACGGGGAAGGGCGCGAGCGCCGCCGCGTTTCCGTGCGACGGCTCGTAGAGGTCGAAGCGCTTCGCGCCCCGCGCCTGGAGGAAGAGGTTGTCCGCCTCGTCGTAGTGGAGGAGCGTCGTGTCGCCCAGGTCCGACACGAAGAGCTGCGTCGCGATCCAGGTCCCGAAGTTGCCCGCGGCGCGGATCTCCTCCACGAGGGGCCCGTTCAACCGCTCGAAGGTCTCGAGCACCTTGGGCCCGACGCCGGGCACGGTCTGCATGAAGCCCGGCCGCTCGAACTCGCCCTTGGCGAAGGCCTCGAGCGCGTCGCCGCCTGCGGAACGCGAGCGGCGTCCTGGCCAGAGTCTCTCGAGAAACCGAAGACGCCCAGAGTCTCTCGAAGTTTGAAGACGCCCAAAGTCTCTCGAGAAACCAACGACGCCCAGAGTCTCTCGAGAAATCGAAGGCGCCCAAAGGTCTCTCGACGCCGGCCGCCCGCCGTCCTCGAGGTCGTAGCGGAGGAGCCGCGTCTGGAGGTAGGAGCCGGGCCCGCGCCGCCGCTTCGCGCGCCGCCGCGCGCGCTCCTCGACGAAGGCGGCCATGGTCGAGTAGGCCTTCTCGCAGACGCGCGGCGGCGGCGGCGCCGCGGCCGCGTCCGCCGGCGCGAGCTCGTGCTCCTCGACCTGCTCGTCCTTGTAGTACGTGTAGCGCCGGCTCGCGGACCGGAGCACGTGGCACGGCCCCGCGATCTGCTCGCAGAGCACGTCCAGGGTCCACTCGCGCAGCGCCGACGACGGCAACAGCTCCGCGTGCGCGAGGACGCACGCGCGGCCCGCCGCGGCGACCGCGACGGCCGCGCGGCGCTCGCTCGGATCGCGGACGTCGAAGCGGCGCACGGCGTCGCCGGCCATGGGCACCTCGCCGTAGCGGCGCCGCGTCACGCGGTCCTTGAGCATGGACCCGTGCCGCTGCTTGAGCCGGTAGCTGTTCCGCTCGTCGACGACGCGCGGCGGCCGCGGCGGCGGCGCCGCGGGCGCCGGCGGCGGCGCCGCGGCCGCGGCGGCCTCGACGCGCACGACGTCGCCGTCCGCGACGGCCTTGGACAGGGCCTCGCTCCCGTCGAGGACCCTGCCGCGGCGCCAGAGGCCCAGCGACGCCGCCTTGTCGACGCCGGCCTTTTTGGCCACGCTCCGCACGAGCGCCAGGAGCGGCTTCGGCAGCCACTTGTCGCCGACCTGGAGCTCGAACTTTTTCGCGCCGTCGTCGTCGCCGCCGCGCACGACGACGAGCGTGAGCTTCATTTGTCGATTAGCGTGGGGCTGCGAGGGAAGGCGACAGCCTCAGGCCATCGGGTTTTAGCGGCTCATCATTGACATCAACTACTAGTCCAACAACATTGGCTGGGCAGCACTCTCTTGGGCAAGCAGCAGTCTGGGCAGCTTCGAGATGTCGATGGCTCCCTGACGAGAGGTTGCATCCCGCGAGTCGGCTTTGCACGAACTGCGCAATAGGCACCGCCGGCACCAACGTTTGCCATGGCCATACCGTCGGAAACCGCCGAGCGGCTCATCGCGCTGACCATCTTCTGGATGGTGACGCAGGAGGCGGACATCCGCATGTGGATCCTCGACGAGGCGCGCAAGCGCGGCGAGACGTTCAAGCGCGAGTTCATGGTCGACCGGTCCCTCGACGGCTGTCGACTCCTGCCCTTTCCGAGCGTGCCGTGGACGACGCTGCCGCCGCGGCTCGCGCTGCGGTGGGCGACGGAGCCGAAGGTCCGCTGGGCGCTGCACCGCCTCGGCCTCATCGCCGGCGTCGTCGCCGCGGCGTCGACGGCGTGTCGACCCGTCGCGTCCGCCGCGTTCCTCGCGCTCGCCGCGGCCGAGATCTACTGCGTCTTCGCGCTGTTCCGACCGCACATGCATTTCGCGCCGCTGCTCTATCTCGTCGCGGCCCAGCTCGTGGACCGGCGGGCGCGGTTCCGGAGCCTCGTCCTGCTGGTCGTCGTCTCGCAGTCGTACGCGTCCGCTGGCTGGTGGCGCCTGGGCCACTTCCTGGCCGTCGAGGGCTTCGAGGTCGACGCGGGCACCTTCGGTAAAGCGTTCCGCCACTTCCTCGAGGTCTTCCAGGCGGGCTGCCCCTACCGAGCGGGCAACGCGCGGCTGCTGCGCGAAAGCGACGCGGCCCTCGGCCGCGCCTACGTCGCCGCGACGGTCCTCGAGGCGGCGCTCCTGCCCCTGGTCTGCGCGTCGGAGCTCGCGGTCCTCGCGCTGCCGGGAGGCGCGGCGCTCCGGGGCTCCCAGATGGCGCTCCGGCGCTGCGCGGCCGCGGCCGTCGCCGGCTTCCACCTGTCGAACGTCCTCCTCCTCGGCATCTGGTTCGGCACGCAGAATCTCACCGTGGCCTGCGTCCTGTGCTTCTACGGCGAGGCGCCGGACGCCGCGCCGCGCCCCGCGGCGCACGCGGCGGGGCTCGCCGTCGCGCTCTTCGCCGCCGCCGCCGCGGTCGCGCGGGCGGACCGGTTCCCGCGCAACGGCGCGCCGCTCTTCCCGTTCCCCGCGGCCCAGGCGCGGCTCCTCGCCGCGGACTGGCGGCTCGCCGACGGCGCGACGCTCCGCGCGCTCATGCTCCCGCGGCACCTCGCGCAGGCCGGCGTGGAGCTGACGGCGAAGGAGCTCTCCGCGGCGAACTACGTGCGGACGGTCTGCGGCGCGAGCAACCCGAACATGCCCGCCTGCGTGCTCCCCGAGCGCGCGCCGCGCGCGTTCGTCGACGCCGCCTACGCGCTCGCGCGCCGCCACGAGCTCCTCGACGGCGACGGCGCGACGGGCTGGGGCGCCCGCGCGGCCGCGGGCTACCCGGGCGTCGCGGACCTCGTCCTCCGGCGACTCCGCGGCGAATTCCGCGCGTGCCGCGCGGCCTTCGCGGCGGCGCGGCCCTTCTACGACGTCGTGTCGGGGACCGACGACCTCGTCCTCGTCCTCGCCAAGACCGCGCCCACGGCCGACGGCCGCGCGCGCGTCGTCGCCCTCGAAGACTAATGCGGTGAGCCTGCTGGGCAGTGCTGGCCTGGGCCCGGCCCCTGGCCTGGCTCCGACTCTGGCGACTCGCCGAGCTGCCGCAAACACGACGAGGACGACTGTCGCGACGAGACCGTGGCAGGCGCTGATCATGAACGAGGGCATAGATTCCTTATCATACTCTGAGGAGGAAGATCCGAATTGGGATTTGGACGAAGACGAAATTGAGGTCGCTGAAAACGGATGGGCGTCAGTCCTTGCGCCGATGTTGCGGACTCGCAACATGTACGGAAGGAGATTGGCGCTTCTTCGCGATGAAGATGAGGGCCAAACGATGCTTCATCACACGCTTAATCCCGAAGAGCGATCTGATCGGTCAGACATGATAAGACTACTGGTTAGCGACGGCGCGGACGTAAACGCGTTTGACAACGACTTAGTGACGCCTCTGCACATAACTTCTTTCCGCGACGAGACGGAGTTGCTTATTGATATGGGTGCAGACGTTAATGCTCGCGACAAGGCAGGATGGACACCGCTCTTCTATACGGCGACTCAGAACCGCCCAGATCGCTGCCTACCAGTTGCGCGCGTCCTATTGCGCCGCGGGGCCGATTTGGTCTTCCACTCTGAGAACGACGAAGCTGAAGAACTATTGGAACTCGCGCGCCTAGAACAGAATTGGCCATTTTTAGAACTCTGCAGAGCGGTGAGACTTGCAGGGAGCTGGCGCAACTACGCAAACGCGCCCCGCGTCGAGCTCGTGCGACTCCGTCTACTCTGCGCGCGCGGCCGCGCGAACCCTCCGCCGGCGCGGCGCGAGCCCATCCTCGCTCGGCTCTTCGCCGCCGGGCCACCGCCGCCGTCGGCTTCGACGAAGAAGTCCGTGCGCCTCGCGAGCCGGCCGGTCCGACGCCCCCTCCCCAACGAGATATTTTGGATCGTCCTCTCCTTCTGGCGTACGAGCCGTGACGACTGAGCAATATCCGGCCTTAACTCGGATCGATTGGAGGCGCCCCGACGCACGGACTAGGGAGGCCAAGGGTCAGTACGTAACTATGTGTCCTTGAACCAGGATGGGTCTGGGTAGTTGGCGAGCGGATTACACTGTAGTGGCAAGCACTTGAGCCTCGAGCTCGCGGGCCGGTACAAGACGTCGTCGGAGTCGTACTCGTCGGAGAGATTCATCGAGGACGAGCGACGCGTCGACGCGGCGGGCCAGGTCCTGCGACGGCGGGAACTGCGCACTTCGTGGACCGGATGAGCAACACCTCCTGGGTGGCGCCTCGCGCTCACGGCACCGGCCATCGTGCCCGAGTTCGCGCTCGTGTCGAAGCACGTCTGCGACATGCCGGTGCGCGACGACGTGCGGCGCGTGAACCCGTGCCTCAACCTGTTGGCCGCGGAACTGCCTGTGTTCCCGGCGGCGTGCCGGCGTCGCGGCGCCGACGTTTTTTGGGGCGGTCGCAAGCGGGAGCGGGACAAGGGCATCGACGGCCTCGGCCACTTCGGCCGCGCCATCGCGGAGGCGATCGCCGCGCGCCGCGGCGAGCGGCTGCCGCCGCGGTTCTTCGGCGAATCCGCGAGCGTCTTCGGCGTCTACCTCCGCGACGTCGCGGGCCTCGGCGACGGCTTCGCGCCGTCGCTCTACTGCCACCAGCGGGGCACGGTGAAGCAGGACTTCGAGGCGACGCACGAGGAGGGGTGCGTCGAGGGCGCGGACGCGTTCCGCGCGTACCTCGCGGCGCGGTACCCGACTGGCGCCGACCTCTTCCGCGACCACTTCGAGTGCTACGCGTCGCCGCCCTTCGACGCGTGGTTCGGCTTCGACGCGCTCCCGCCGGCGGGCGACGCCGCGTGGGACCGGCGCGCCGTCGCCGAGACCTACGCGTCCCTCGACCGCGGCGCGTTCGCGGGAGCCTGCGGCGCGGCCGCCGGCGACGTTCGACTCGTGATCCACGCGCGCCTCGGGGACCTTTTGGCGACGGCGGGCCGCACCGAGGGGAAGCGCCTGCGCAACGCGCTCGTCATCGCCGGGAAGCTCGTGGAGCGGCGCCGGGACCGCGTCCACGTGCTCGTGCTCAGCGACTCGCCCGCGGCGGCCGTCGCGGGCCTCCTCGAGGGCGACGTCCGCGTCGAGCTCGGCGACGCGCGCAGCGACGGCGTGTCGCAGCTCGTCGACGGCCGCACGGTCGGGCTCGGGGCCGGCGACTTCGACGTGACGCTGAAGGGCGAGGGCCACCCGCTCGTCGCGCTCCACTGCATGGCGACCGCGGACGTGCTCCTCGGTCCCGAGACGCCGAAATGCGGCGACCCCTGGGTGCCGCGGGCGCGACGGCTCGGCGCGGCGCGCTGGGCGGCCCAGAGCGGCGCCACGGGCGTGCGCTGCAGCAACATGGTGCGCTTCGCGAGGAACCTCAACGCGCGCGGCGCGTTCCGCGGCGTGCCCGTGGCGCCCCTCAACGCGACGGCCGTCGACGCCGGCCTCGCGGCGCTCCTCGCGGTGTTGCCTTAGGGGGTCCTACATCATCTCCGTGGTCTTCTTGTTCTTCCAGTCGCCGCCGGTGTCGAACTTGCGGTGCTTCGCGCGGTGGGCCATGTAGCGGTTGTAGCCGTAGTAGGAGAAGTAGGTGACGATGACGCCGGCGAAGAGGAGGGCGATGGCGAGGCGCAGGTACTTGGTGACCTTCTTGTCCGAGGAGCCGAAGATGTTCCAGATGAGCACGTCGCAGGGGTCCTTGTTGCCGTCGCCGATGGCGTCGTTGTCCTTGTTCTCGATGGCGAAGGTGCCGTCCTCGAGGACGACGACCGTGCCGTCGAGGGACTGGCAGGACGCGGCGCCCTGGGCGTTGGCGACGCCCGTCTGCGACGCCTCGTCGAAGCAGCGCGCGCGCGCCTGCTTCAGCGTCGGGTTCTCGGGGAGCGGCGCGACGGTGATCATGGGGTTCGCGTCCTGGAGCACGCCCGTCGTCGCGTCGAGGGCGCAGGCCTCGCCGTCGCCGCGCACGCAGACGACGCCCGTCTGGTCCCTATTCGAAAAGTTGTTGTTCCGCGACGAGAAGTACGCGTACGTGCCCGGCCGCCGCGCGACCATGACGCCGCCGTCGAAGTAGGGAAACGGCTTCGCGTTGAGCTTCGCGCAGTTTAACGGATGGTTCTCGCGCTCGTTCTTGTTGGAGATGGCGTCGAGCTCGTCCTCCGTGAGGCACTCGTTGCCCGCGCGGAGCTGCAGCGCGCCGCCGTCCGACTGCTGGTTCAGGTACATGAGGCGCCGCATCAGCGCGACGCAGGCCGCTTCCTCGTCCGCGCTCTGACTGCCGTCGTCCTCGACGCAGGGCGCGAAGCCGAGGTAGGCCGCCGTCGTGCTCGCGAGGCGCTCGTCGTACGTGAGGTCGTCGGCGTCGGCCGCCGAGTAGCCCGCGGAGTCCGCGGGCACGTTCTCGGCCATGGTGTTGAGGAAGACGACGTTGGACCGGTCCGCGCGCGAGTTCGACGCCGCGTTCGCCGCCGTGACGAAGTCGTTGGGGTCCGGCGGGCCGCCCTCGGCGTCGTTGCAGCCGCGCCGCGGGTTGTAGTCCGAGCCCGTCCACTGGAAGTGGACGAGGTCGCCCTCGTCTAACGCGAGGGCGTTGGGCGTGAAGTCGTACTCGACGGCGGGGTAGGTCTGGACGATGTTGCCGCGCTTGCCGCGGACGTTGACGTTGTAGATCTTGGGGTAGCTCGCCGCGTCCGCGAGCTCCGCGGGGACCGCGGGCGCGTCGGTCTCGTCGTCCGCCGCCGCCGCGGCGCCGGGCCGCGGCACGATCTTGAACGTGTAGGACCGGTCCTGGAAGGTCCGCGCGTACTGGTTCGTGTTCACCGCTAAACTCACGAAGTGGTCCTCGTCGTCCTCGCCGTCGCCCGCGCCGAGGTAGACGTAGGGGTCCTGGTAGAGGGGCGTGTTCGGCGACTCATCGTTGATGTTCTTGCTGTTGTTGCGCGCGTCGACCATGTTCCGCGTCCACTGGTGGTTGTCCGGGATGGCCTCGTCGGGCCACGCGGGGAAGTCGCTCGTGGAGATGTTGTAGCGGATGCGCAGAGCGCAGGACGCGTAGGCGCTCTCGAGGTCGTCGCCCTCGACGTAGTTTTCCTTTTTGGGCGTGGGGATGGACGGCACGGTCCAGAGGAAGCGGTTCGCGTTCACGCCCTGCGGCGCGCCGTCGTCGTCGCCGCCGTTCGTCGACGAGACGGCCGTGTCGACGGCGTTGCCGAGCTGGTTCACGCGGGCGAACTGGGTCTTGGCGCAGATCGGCGGCTTGAGGCCGTCGAGGACGTCGCTGAGGGACACGGAGTGCCACGTGAAGCCGTTGGCCTCGCAGGCCTCCCGGTTGTTGTACCAGGACCGCTGCTGCCAGGCCTGGGAGCTCGCCTTGTCCTCGAAGCTCTGGGTGCCGTCGTGGGCGACGTCGCAGTAGGACTTGTTGTGCGTGTTGAACGAGTTCTCGAGGTAGTAGGTGCACCGGTTGCTGTCGCAGGGGAGCTCCGCGCAGGGCTCGTCGCCCGCGTCGTTCGTGAGCACGGCGATGTCGACCCAGGGCGACGGGTGCCAGTGGGGGTAGTAGTCGCGCTCCTCGGGGCACTCGAGGCCCCGGCGGTCGCCGTTGGGGTTCTGGCGCGTGCCGCGCATGTCGTTGCGGCGGACGCGCTGGTCCGCGGTGTAGAGGCCCTCGTTGCGCTCCGTGCGCTGGCAGAGCTCGTAGGACGAGAAGGGCTCGTGCATGCCGTAGCGCCGGTCGGCCTCCGTGTCCGGCGTCGCCGCGTCCGCCGTGTCCGGGATCGTGTCCGTCGCCGCGTCGTCGTCGTCGTCGGGGATCCCGTCGCGCGGCGACGCGACGTTCGCGCCCGCGCGGAAGGCCTGGCCCCGCGTGCCGTCGTTCTTGGAGGACGTGTAGGGCCAGAAGTCGTCGACGAAGGGGTCGCCCGTGTCCTCGCACATGTACTGGAGCACGATCTCGCAGTTCGTCTTCGAGTTCTGGCCGCAGCCGTGCTGGTTCGTCCACTCGATGGGCAGGATCGAGCCCTCGTAGAAGTACATCTTCTTGTTCTGCGTGAAGCCGTTGAAGATCGCCTCGCCGGCCTCGTTCTGCCGCGACTCGTCGCCGACGGCGCGCGGGCAGGCGTAGCCGCCCTTGGCGTTGTTCTGGCTGTCGAAGAGGCGGTTCCCGTTGTTGCGGTTCACGTTGCGCTCGCAGTTCCGGTCGTTGGACCCGCGCGGGTTGTGCATGTAGACGTCGGCCGTCGCCGAAGCCGCGAGCAGGACGACCGCCGCCTTGATTGGCGCCATGCTTCCACGCCGTGCTTCGATGGTTCTCAGGGCTGCCAAGCTTCCCCACGACTTCCTTGCTATGAATAAATTCTGCACGTTTACCTCAAGAAGCAGTTCCTAGGGCGGCGAGTGGGACCTCCGCGACGAGGACCGCTTCTCCTTCGCGGCCCGCTTCGCGGCGGCCTGCTTCTGCTCGATGTCGAGGACGCGGTTGAAGTCGGCCATGGCGAGCGCGTCGAGGCCGAGGCGGTCCCGCGAGATGCCCCGGTTGTGGAGCGCGTGCGTGTTGTCCGCGTCGTGCTCGAGAGCCGCGCTGTAGTCGTCGACGGCGCCGTGGAAGTCGTCCATCTTCGCGAGGCAGTAGGCCCTCGCGTTGTAGAGCTTCGCGACGGCGACGTCGCCGCGGCGCGTCCGCCGGTCGCCGCCGGCGTCGTCGGCGTCGGCGTCGTCCGCGGCCGGCGCGCGCTCCGGCCCGTCGGCGAGGGCCGCCTTCAAAGCTAACGCGTAATCCGCCGCGGCGTCGCCGTAGTGGCCGAGCTTGCGCCGCGCGTAGGCGCGATTCGCGCGCGCGGCGCGGTGCGCCGGGTCGAGCGCGAGCGCGTCGGAGAAGCACCTGTGCCGAAACCAAATCTTCAACCCGACTTCAATGTGCGCGTATTCGAATGTTTTGACACAAGCTCTTCAGCTGGGCTTCGAGAACTCGACGAGAGCGATCGATCCGTCCAAAAGTCAGCCGAATCGACTTCGATTTGACCGAGCTAGAGAATTCTCAAGTTTGGTCAGGACCACCCAAACCAGTGGTTGGTTTCGGCACAGAGAAGCACTTGTTCGCCTTGGCGTGGAGGCCCCGGTGGCGCGCGTTGGCGCCCCGCGCGTGGTGGTACTCCGCGTCGTCCGGGCGGATGGCGACGGCCCGGTCGAAGGACTCGGCCGCGTCGTCGAGGCGCTTGAGGCGGTCGAGCACGAGCGCGCGCGCGTAGAGCGCGGCGCCGAGGCACTGGCTGTCGTCGGCCGTCGGCGAGTCGGCCCGCGGCCGCCGGCCGGGCGGCGGCGGCGCCTTGTCGGCGCCGTCGCCGACGAGCTGGATCGCCGTGTCGAACGCGCGGAGCGCGGCCTCGAGCTCGCCCAACTTCTCGAGGACGACGCCGCGGTTGTGGTGCGCGGACGCGTGCGCGGGCCGCAGCGCGAGCGCGGCCTCGTAGTCCTTCAACGCCTCGGCCCGACGGCCCAGGGCGTCGAGGCAGAAGGCCCGGTTGTAGAGGGCCTTGAAGTGCTTCGGGTCCTTGGCGAGCGCCGCCGCGTAGTCGTCGACGGCGCCCGAGAAGTCCGCGAGCTTGCGCTTGCAGAACGCGCGGTTGTGGTAGAAGTCGGCGACGGGGAAGCGATCCTTCGCCGCCGCCCCCGTCTTCGCCGCGCCGGCCTCGCGGGCGAGCGCGTGCTCGATGGCCTTGGTGAAGTCGAGGACCGCGGCCTCGGCGTCTCGCAGGCGCTCGTGCGCGATGCCGCGGTTGTACCACGCGAGCGCGTGGGACGCGTCGATGGCGATGGCCGCCGTGTAGTCGAGCACGGCCCGCGGCAGGTCGCCCAGGGCGTCCAGCGCGAACGCGCGGTCGAAGCGCGCGCGGAAGTGCTTCGGCGACAGCTCCAAGCACGCGGAATACCTGTGTGGAAATTGAAATTCTCTAGCTCGGTCAAATCGAAGTCGATTCGGCTGATTTTTGGACGAATCGATCGCTCTCGTCGAGTTCTCGAAGCAGAGCCGAAGAGCTTGTGTCGAACCGTTCGATTACGCGCGCATTGAAGTCGGGTTGAAGATTTGATTTCCACGCAGCCGAGTACGCGTCGACCGCGCCCACCAGATCGCCCGACCGCCGCAACGCCACCCCCCGCTGGTGCGCCTCGGCGGCGCGCCGCGACCGCGACGCGTCGACCGGCGACCGCTTCTTCGGCGACGGCTTCGGCGACGGCCGCTTGGGCGACGGCGGTTTTTCGGGCGTTTCCTCCGCCATCGCCTCGCGGAGCGCGCGCTCGCGCGCCGCGGCGTAGGCGTCGGCGCCGAGGGCCAGACTCGGCCGCTTCTCGCCCAAAGCTCCCTTCGGGTCCCGCGCCTCGTCGAGCGCGAGCGCCCGCTGGTAGTCGTCGATGGCCGACGCGAAGTCGCCCAATTTGTTCCGGCAGGACGCGCGCGCGTAGAGCGCGGACGCGCGGTTCGGCGCCTCGCCGAGGCACCGCGTGAAGTCGTCGATGGCCTCGCCCGTCCGCCCCAATTTCTCCAGCACCTCGCCGCGCGCCTGGTGCAGCCCCGCGGACGCGCCGTCGCGGTCGAGGTCGCCGACGCTGAGCTCGAGCGCCGCGCTGTAGTCCGCGAGCGCCGCGTCGTAGGACCCCGCGCGCGCGTGGTAGCCCGCGCGCTCGCGCCGCAGCGCCCGCGCGACCTCGCCCGACGCGCTCGCGAGCTCCGCCGTGCAGCGCGCGATGGACGCCTCGCAGCCCGCCTCGCCGTGGTTCTGCCGGTAGTAGTAGGTGCGGTGCGGCTGCTGGGCCGCCTGCTCCTCCGTCTCGAGGTAGGGCGCGCGCTTGAGCAGGGCGCCGCCGGGCGTCGGGCTCGACGCGCGAGCGAAGGTCGCCATGCGAGTGCTAGGTGGGCAGCCTCGACATTGTTTGATCGAACAAACGATCGACCTGAAAGCTTGAAGGGCAATTGAGGCAGCATTGCAGCTCAGCTCGAGCTCTGAGGCAATGGACTCCTAAAAGCCAGCGATAGCGCGCGCGTCGCCGCCTCCTCGCGCGTCCGCTCGAGCTGCGCGAGCGATGTCGGATCACCACTTCTGCCCGCGCTGCGGCGGCCACATCAAGGGCGAGCGCTGCGAGCTCTGCGCGCCGGACCCCGCGGACCGCGAGCTCGACGCGTCGGAGATCCACGACGTCTCGCCCGCGGCCGACGGGAGCCTGCTCAAGCAGGTCACGACGGCCGGCGAGGACGCGGGCCCGCAGCAGCTGGCGACGCCGTCTCCGCTCTGCGACGTCGAGGCGAGGGTGCGGACGCTGCGGCCGAAGCAATCGGCGCCCCGCGCCGTGACGTGGCGCGGCGGCGGCGCGGAGCCGCCCGCCGACGACCTGCCGGCGGCGCTCCGCGCGGGGCTCGAGACCATGCGCCTCGGCGAGGTCGCGAAGGTGACCGTCGTCGACGCGGAGCGCGACGCCGCCGTCGAGTACGAGCTCGAGGTGCTCGACTGGGTCGAGGAGCTCGACTGCGACCGCGAGCGGCCCAAGGCGGCGACGAAGCGCACGGTGTCCCGGCCGCCGCTCATGAGCTGGCGCGAGCCGCGGAACCTCGACGAGGTCCGCGTCGTCGGCGCGTTGGCCGACGGCGCGGGCTTTACCGTCGACTACGGCGCGCTCGAGCCCCGCGACCCGGCGGAGAAGACGGCCGTGCCCGGCGAGCGCGCGCGGGACGTGGCGCACGGCTGGACGGACACATCGGGCTGGCGCCTCGACGAGGATGCGACCACGGAAACGGGCGCGCCCGTCTGCGAGGGCCTCCTCGATATTTTGAGGACGATGCGGTGCTTCGAGGTCGCGGACGTGCGCATCCGCGGGGACCGGGGCTTCCCCGGCGCGGGCGACCTCGCGGGCCGCCTGCAGCTCGTCGCGGTCGTCGAGGACGGCGACGAGGAGCTCATGCGGAACCGCGGCGCGTACAGCCACGACGACCGCGAGGCGCGGCGCCTCGTGCAGGTCGGGGAGAAGAAGAGGTGGGGCAACGCGCACTTCCAGCGCGGCGACCACGGCCGCGCGATCCGCCGCTACGGCCGCGCGGTCGAGCTCGGCGAGAACGACGACCCCGACGACGTCGACGAGGCCATGCTCGACCTGCTGGCGACGGTGCGGTGCAACCGCGCGGCGGCGCACCTCAAGGCGGGCGACTTCGGCGCCGCGAAGGCGGACTGCGACGCGGCGCTGGCGCGGGACCCGCGCAACGACAAGGCGAAGCTGCGCCGCGCGACGGCGCTCCAGGAGCTCGGCAGCCTCGACGCGGCCCGCGACGCGCTCCTGGACCTCGCGAAGCACGCGTCCAACGCCGCGGTCGCGCGCGACGCGCGGCGGAAGCTCGACGGCCTCAAGGCCGCGCTCAGGGAGCACCGCCGCCTCGAGAAGGACATGTACGCGGGCGTCTACGAATCGGCGCCGACCTTCGGCCCGAAGCCCGACCCGGCGCCGCCGCCGCCGCCGGCGGTCGAGGAGGACGAGGCGACGCGCGACCGGCGGGCCAACGACGCGTGGCGCCGGTCGCTCATGGAGCAGGCCGCCGCGTCCGTCGAGCGGCAGCGCGCGAACTACGCCGGCCGGCTATAACGCGCACACTCTCACGCGCCCCGCGCCGGTCGACTCGAGCGCTTAGGTCCTACTTCTTGTTCTTCTTCGCCTGCTCCGCGGCCTTGGCGCGCGCCTTCGCGGCTTTTTCGTCCGCCTTGGCCTTGGCCTCCTTGGCGAGGCGCGCCTTCTTGTTCTTGGCGACGAAGGCGTCCTTGCGCGCCTTCTTGTCCGCCGTCTCCTTGAGGCCCGGCAGCTGCTTCGAGAGCTTGGCGTAGTCCGCGTCGAACGCGTCCTGCTTGTTTGCGAGCTTCGCCTCGGCGGCCGCGAGCGCCCTCTGCTCCGGCAGCTTCGCGAGGGCGGCCTTGGCGTCGGCGACGGCCTTGCTCGCCTCGGCCTTCTCCGAGCTGAGCTTCGCCATCTTGTCCTTGGCGTCCTTCAGCGCCTGCGCCTCCTTGGTCAGCGGCGCCGGCGGCGGCGGCTTCGGCTTCGGCGCCGCGGGCGCGGCGGCTGCGAAGCTCGCCTTGCCGTCGGCGGCGGCCTTCGGCTTGGCGAGCTTCGCCTCCTTCGCCTTCTCCGCGACGCAGAGGTCGCTGTTGGGCGCGTAGCTGCACACGCCGGCGACGGCCGGCTGCAGCGGCAAGGCGAGCCCGCCGACGGCGAGCGCCGCGGCGCCGGCGGCCTTGCGCAGCGGCGCCAGCGGCTGCACAGAAGGCTTCACGCCGTTGAATGCATTGGCGACGGCAGCGAGTGCGAGTACGCGCAACATAGCTTGCGGCGAGCGCGTGGCCAGCGCAGGACTGAGCACGTTTTTGTGAACTTCAAAAATGCGATCTTTGCCCTGCTCCGCGCGGCGATGGCCTCCGAGTCGCCGCACAGCCTCCTTTTTTTAAAATCGGCCGCGGGCTGCGACCTCCCCGCGACGAGTCGCGGATGCTCGCTCGCAAGATCCGCCGCATCGACCGCGGTGGCATCGCGGCAGCCGGCGATCGTCACGACGCGCGGAGATCACGGTCCCGGTGCTGCTGCGCGGCGCCCCGGCTCGACCGAAAGCGGCAGCGCGACCCAATTCCCGCTTGCCAGCGCGGAAGTCGTCGTGTTGCAGGCTTTGGGCGACTGCAACATGGTCAACAAGCCGATCACGAGATCTTCTCTCGCATGGGCGCAAGCTTGCAAGTAGCTGCGGCTGCACGCAATAAGCTCAGGCTCGCGCAATAAGCTCAGCCTCGCTGCACAACACTGAGGGCTGCTCGCAGCACGCCTGCAAACGCAATGATCTGGCGCGCGCTCTGCGTAGCGACCATCGCGCGCGCGCTGCAGCGCAACCCTGCGCCGCGGCCGCGCACCGCTGCTGCACGGCGCACCGCTGCAGCGCCGCGCGCTGCGGCCAAAACCTCCGACGACGCTGCAGCGCCGCGCGCCGCGGCCAACACCGACGACTACGGCTCGCTGCAGCGCGAGATGGAGCGCGGCGGCGCGGCGTTCACGGACTGCCGCATCGCGCCCTGCGGCGGCACGGAGCGCGCGGTCGTCGCGACGGCGGCGCACGCCGCGGGCAGCGTGCTCATCCGCGTGCCGCGCGCGCTGGCGATCACGCCGGACGCGGCCCTCGCGTACGCGTCCGGCGCCGCGGCGGAGGCGCTCGAGGGCGCGGCGGAGAGCGACCTGCTGGCGCTGTGGCTCCTCGAGCAGGACGCGAGCTCCGAGTTCGTCAGGAGCCTCCCCGCCGTCGAGGACCTCGCGCACCTGCCCGTGTTCTGGGCCGCGGGGGACCTCGAGCTCCTCGCGCACAGCGACGTCGGCCGCGCGCTGAAGCGGCGCGTCGCGCGCGACGACGCCTTCGATGCCGCGCTGCGCCGGGCGTCGCCGCACTACGCGGCGCTCTGCGACCGCGAGCGCTGGGCCTGGGCCAAGGCGCTCGTGAGCTCGCGCGCGTTCTCCGTGCCCGGCGACGACGGGCCCCTGCCGCCCGGGTCCTGCGTCGGCGAGCAGGACGAGGGCTCCAACGACGACGGCGTGAGCTGCCTCATGCCCCTCGTCGACATGATCAACCACGTCGCCGTGAGCGACGGCGGGTCCTGCGAGTGGGGCGTCGAGCGCCTGCCCGGCGACGTCCGCGGCGACTTCGTGATCCGCGCGCTCAGAGACGTCGAGCCGGGCGAGGTGTCCATCTCCTACGGCGCGCTGAGCGCCGCGGGGTCGCTGCTGAACTACGGCTTCCTCGGCCGCGACGCGGCGTCGGACCAGGACTGCGCGACGGTCTCCGTGTCGCTCGACGGGCTCGCGGGCGTCGCGACGCGGGACCTCTGGCTCCGCGACGAGGGCAAGTACGACGGCGACTGGGCGCGGGGGGAGCGGCGCGTCCGCGTGGGCTTCGGCGACCCGGAGAGCGGATCCACGCTCCTCGCGCTCTGCCGCGTCGCCGTCGCGTCGGACGCGGAGGTCGACCGGCTCCTCGCGGGGTCCGACGACGCCGAGCAGTGCGCGGCGACGATCGCGCCGGCGCCCGTGTCCTGGCGCAACGAGCGCGCGGCCATGGAGCGGCTCGACGCCGTCGCGACGGAGGCGCTCCGGGGCCGCGAGAACCTCGACGCGGAGCGCGGCGGCGGCAACGTCAACGCGCGGAACGCGGCCATCGCCGCGGACGTCGAGACGGAGATCCTCGTCCACTGGCAGACGCTCGCGCGCCGCGCGTCCTACGTCCTCGACTTCGCGTCCGACGCCGACGACGCGCCGTCGGCCTTCGACGTCGGTTTGTACTATCCCGACTTCCTCCGCCAGCTGCTCGACTCGCCGACGTGCTTCCCCGAGTACGCGCCGCCGACGGCGGCGCCCGTCGCCTAGCTCGCCGAGTACGCGCCGCCGACGGCGGCGCCGAGTCGCCTAGCTCGCCGCGTTCGCTTCGCCGCCGCCCCTTCGTCACATGCCGCTCGCTCGTTTCGGTCCCGCATTCGCCATAAGATCCGATAGTTAAAAAGACGGTGTCGCCCGAAGCGAGGGGCGACTCGGCGATCGCGGACTCCGGCCTCACAACAGCCAGGGCGTCTCGGCGATGCGCTGGTAGAGCACGAGCGCCGCCCAGGGCCCGAGGACGAAGTAGAGCGTCAGCCAGGGCATGTCGTCCTTCCACGTGTCGTAGGAGTCGTCGACGGGCGGCCGCGTGAGCGACTTGAGGATCGCGACCTTGCAGTCGCCGCGCTTCGCGTTCTCGAGGGCCGCGCGGACGTACATCGGGACGTCGACGACGACGAGGCAGAGCGCCCAGCAGCCGAAGAAGACCGTGATCTCCGCGTGGCCCAGGGTCCGGCCCCGGATGGCGACCGTGGACGCCGCGGCCGTCCAGCACGCCTCCTCGGCCGCGTGCGGCATCGCGTAGCCGTTGACGACGCCGCACCAGCACGCCGCGCGCGCGACGGCGGCGATGAGCACGCTGAGCCAGAGGTAGAGGCGGGGCTCGTCCTTGTCCGCCGTCGCCACCGTGTAGCAGCACATGAGCACGCCCATGGCGCTCTCGCCGAGGTGGCTCACGCACTGGTCCGCGATGGGGCTCGACATGCCCCGGCCCCGGCACCTCACGATCTTGTAGGGCCGCGCGGCCCAGGCGATGGGGTTCCAGGACCGGATCGCCGTCGACGCGGAGAAGAGGAGCACGAGCGGCAGGGCGAACTGGGTCAGCTCCGTGCGGCTCTCCGTGCGCAAGGCCTTGGCGGCGACGCAGAGCGCCTGCGACGTCGACAGGAAGCCCAAGCTGTCGTGCCACATGTGCACGACCGACGAGCCCGGCCCGGCCTTGGACGACGTTCTGGCCATGCTGCGCCTGGAGTCTTGTCATCCAGTTGTCGCCGCCTGCAAGTCCGACTCGGTGAAGAGGTGTTGCCGTGGGATGCGTGTTTTCAAGTGGCCTGGGCCTAGCGTCGGAATACACACGCACACAGCCGTCGGCGTTCTTCAAGATTGCCCTTTACTACCAGGGCAGCGCGGCGCCGGAGTACCAGTCCTGCTGGCGCGGCGCGCCGTCCGGGTCGTAGCCGCCGCCGCCGTCGCCGTAGGGGTTCGCCTGCGGCGCGCCGTGGCCGTAGAAGGGCTCGGCGAAGGGCGACGGCGCGCGGGGCGCGTCGCCGCCGTAGTAGGACGCGCGCATGGCCGTGTAGGACCGCGCGGGCGCGTCGCGGGGCTCGAATTCCGGCGCGGTCACGTCGAGTTCGAGGCTGCCCGCGCGCTCGAGGCCGCCCCGGGGCGCGTCGCCGGGCCAGCGGCCGCCGCGGCCGCCGCCGAGGTCCTGGCGCTGGAGCGCCTCGAAGTCGGCCTGGGCCCGCGACCGCGCGGCGTCGCGCCGCGCGAGGTCGCGGTCGCGGTCGCGCGCGATCTTCTCGCGCTTCTTCTCCGCGGCCTTCTCGGCCTTGGCCTTCTTCGCGTCGAGCTTCGCCGCCTGGGCCGCCTTGAGCTCCCGGAGCTGCTCGCGCTCCCGGGCCAGCGCCCGCTTCTCGAGCTCGAGCCGCTTCGCCTCCTCGGCGAGTTTCCGGTTCACGTCCTCGAGGCGCTGCTGCTTCGCGGCGAGGCGCTTCTCCTGGGCCGACGCGGCGGCGGCCTTCTTCGCGTCGTCGGCCGCGCGCCGCTTCGCGTCGTTGTCCTCGCGCTGCTTCCGCAGTGCGCCGAGCGCCTTGTCCGCGAGCGCGGCCGCGGGCCGCGCGCGCGGGCTCCTGTCCAGCGCGACGTTGACGGCGTTGAGGCGGCCCTTCTTGTTCGTCTTGACGTCGAAGACGACGGGGTCGCCCACCGCGATCTTTTTCTCGCGGACGTCCGTGAGGTAGACGTACACGTCCGCGGCGCCGTCGTCGCGCCGGAGGAAGCCGTCCTTCTTCGACAGCTTGGCGACGCGGCCGAGGACGCCCATCTCCCGCGACGTGGCGCCGTTGGGGCTCGGCGGCGCCGCGACGCTCTTCGGCGGCGCCGCGACGCTCCTCGGCGGCGCCGCGGCGGCCGGCGGGTGCGCGAGCGCCTCGCGGACGCGGTCGCGCGTCGCGGCGTCGACGAGCATCTCCTCAAAGTCCGCGTCGTCGAGCAAGGCGAGCGTCGCCATGTCGACCTCGTTCTCCTGGAGCAGGGGCGCGAGCCAGAGGACGTCGCTCAGGCCCGCGGCCACCAGGAAGCCCTCGACGGTCGCGCCGGCCGGCGGCGGCGGCGCGGGCGCCGGCGCGCCCCGCTCCCGCGCGCCGCGGTCGGCCATGAGGAGGCGCACGGCGTCGCGGTCCTTGCGCTTGATGGCCTCCTGGAGGTCGCCGCCGTAGGGCAGGGGCGCCGCGGCCCCGGCCGCGTCCGCCGCGAGGCGCTTCTTCTCGGCCTGGCGCTGGCGCTTCTCCTGCTGCTGGAGCCGCTTCCGCTCCTTCTTGTCGGCCCCGAGGCGGGCCTCGGCCTCGCGCCGGTCCGCCTCGGCCCGGGCCGCCGACGCCTTCGCCGCGGCGTCCTTGGTGGCCTTGGTCGCGTCCTTCTTCGACGCTTTCTCGGCGAGCTTCGCGGCGCGCGCGTCGTCCTCGCGCTCGCGCTTCGCGCGCGCGGCGGCGACGGCGGAAGCGCCCCGGCCCCGGATGGCGACGGCGACGGCGTCGAGGAGCGCCGGCGACGCGCCGCGCTCCGCGATGGGCAGGAAGAGCGTCTTCGCCAGAGCCGCGTCCTCGAGCGCGGCCGCCGCGTCGGCCCACGCGGCCGCGTCGAGCGTCGCCTCGTAGCGCCGCTCGTCGACGTGGGGCTTGAGCGCGGCCATGAGGTCGCCGACGGACGTCAGGGTCTCCGGCGCCTTCTTGAAGTCGGCCGCCGCGTGGTGGACCGACGCGTGCAGATACGCGAACGCCTCCGGCGCGTAGCGCGCGCGGCCGCTCTTGAAGATGGACGCGGGCGTCGGCGACAGCGACTTGAGCGGCGGCTTCGCGTCGGCCGGCGGCGCGTCGTCCCCCTTGGACTCCTCCGCCGCCGCGCCGACGACCGCCGCGGGCTCGGGCGCCTCGAGCTCCGCCGCCGCGGGCGCCTCGACGGCGGCCGGCGCCGCGGCGGCCGCCGCCGCGCCCGGCACCTCGCTCTCCTCGACCTCCGTCTCGCTCGCGGCCTCGTCGCAGACCTCGGCGACGATCTCCGAGAACAGGCCGTCCCACGTCGTGGCGTCGTCAGGGTCGCCCGGGCCGGGAGCGACGACCGGCGGCGCGGCGGCCGGCGGCGCGAAGCCCATCGGCGCGGCGGCCGGCGCGTAGCCCATCATCGGCGCGGCGGCCGGCGCGTAGCCCATCGTCGGCGCGGCCGCGGGCGCCGGCATGCCCGGCGGCGCGGCCGCGGGCGCCGGCATGCCCGGCGGCGCCGCGGCGGCCGGCGCGAAGCCCGTCGGCGGCGCGGGCGGCGCTTCGACCGGCGGCGCTTCGACGACCGGCGCGTTGGCGGCGGCCTCCTCGGCGGCGCTGGCGAAGCCGCGCTCCTTCGCGTTGCGCTCCGCCATGAGGCGCCGGATGGCCGGGCGGTCCGCGGCCTTCACGGCCAGCTGCATGTCGCCCCCGTACGGGAGGGGCGCGTCGAAGTCCATCGCGTCGCGTCGAGGGTAGGAGACGGTCGGAGAGCGGCGGCGCCTCGCGAGGCCTCGGTCTTTGGTGTGCAAATCTAGATATCTGGCGAAGGTCCGTTTCGATTCAAATTTTGCAACCCCCGCATGTGCGTGTCGAAGGTGAACTGGCGGAAGGCCTGCGGACGCCGGCGCGCCAGCAAGACGAGCCCTCCCCGCGACTTACCCCCGGCTCCGCGCGTACATGACGGTCACTTCTACGGTCGACCGCTCGCCGCCGCCCGCGCGTGGCGCGCCGCGAGGTCCGCGGCGTCGAGCCGCGTGACGTTCCAGGTGTCGTGGGCGTCCGACGCCCGGCGGCGCGCCGCTTCGAGGTCGTCGAGCTCCGCCCGCAGCCGCGCGGCGTCGTCCCCGCGGTCCTCGCGCCGCGCGGCGTCGTAGGCCGCCCGCAAGGGCCGGGTCCGGTCCTCGAAGAATTGCCGCTTCGACTCCACCAGCGCGACGGACCGCGGCCCGGCGACGGCGTTGAGCGCGCCGCAGACGCGGTCCACATAGGCGAGCGGGTCGGCGAGCCCGGCGTTCCCGGCGTCGCGCGCGAGCGCGTGCTGGTGGAGCACGAGCGCGCGGTCGACGAGCACGCCCATGCGGTCGTCGAAGGCGTTGCCCAGGGGCGTCCAGGCGAAGCGGACGTTGAACTCCGCGGGCAGCGCGCCCAGCCGCGACTCCTCGGCCCGGGCCTTCTTGTCGCGGTGTAAGAGGACGGTCAGCGCGACCTGGTCCATGCCCCAGTAGTTGAAGACGCGCGCGTCGTGGCCCGCGAGCCACGCGTCGACGTAGGCCTGGATCCAGTCCGCGACGAACGACGCGGCCCGCCAGCCCCGGACGACGGCGACGGCGCCGCCCTGGAGCCGGTCCCAGCCCTTGCCGCACGCGCCCAGATCCTCGCCCGCGCACCACCGCCGCCGGCACGCGCGGCACGCCGCGCTCGCGTAGTCGCCGCACGCGCCGGGCGCGCAGGCGTCCCGCGCGCAGGCGAGCGTCGCCGCCGCGGCGCAGGCGAAGCGCGCCGCGGACTGGTGCTTGCCCTGGCTGCCGTCGTTGGACGCGAGCCGCACGGGCGGCGCGTCGCTCGGCGGCGCGTCGACGTCGCGGAGCGCGAGCGCGAGCGTCGCCTCGCCCGCCGCGTCGGCGCACAAGGCCGTGTCGTCGTCGAGGAACAACGTCACGTCGTAGGGCGCGCGCGCGAAGTGGTGCAGCCGCCCGAGGCGGGACGTCGCCAGTTCGCGGCGCTCCGCCGACGCGTTGGCGAGCGACGCCGCCGCGGCCTCCCGGAGGGGCCGGGGGATCTCGCGCGTCGCCGCCGCGGCGTCGGAGACGTTCAGGACCGCGTCGAAGAGCGACGTCGGCGGACGCGCGTGGCCGTAGTCGTCCGCGAAATATCGCATGGCCGCGTCGACGTCGTCGCGCGCCAGCTCCGTGAACAGCGTCGTCGGCGTCGACCGCCCGCGGCGCCGCAGCGACGCCGCGGAGACGTAGAGCTCGCGGAGCTGCTCGACGTCGCCCGGCCGCGCGTTGTTCCTCGTCCAGGCCACGCCGTAGGTCCGCCCGTTGGGCGGCGGTTGTGGTGCCTGCGCTCGTGACGGTTCCGGCGCGAGCACCAGCGCGAGGGCGCAGAGCCTCTGCATCGCGTCAATTGCGCGCGGAGCGTCAGGACGCCACCTGATGACGCCGATGCGTCGATGCCATCGGTGGGGCTGCTCCGAGAAAGGAGCGGTTCAATCGGCCAGGTTGAAGTTTGAAGTACAGGCGGTTCCTCGCACCCCGGTCTGCCGAAGACGAGACCGTCGCGGTCCGCCCCGTCCATTCCGGGGATCAAACATCGCGGGTTAGTCGTCGCCCGGACCCATCTTCTGCTGCTGGGCGAAGACCCAGCGCTCGGTCGCGTGGGGGTCCTCGAGGTAGGAGGCGACCTCCTCGCCGACGGTCCTGACCCATTTCGGGAGGACCGGCTCCGGTTTTCTGTCGTTGGCGAGGCCCGTCTCATCGACCTCGGAGGCGGAGGCGGCGCCCGGCATGAAGAGGCCCTTGCGGGCGCGCGCCTCGGGGACCGGGGCGTCGTCGGCCGCGGGCGCGTCGACGCCGCAGGTCGCGAGGTCGTTGCGGACGGCGCAGAAGTTGGCGGGGACCATGCCGGCCTCCTTGGCGATGCGGTAGACGGACTTTTTGGCCGCGGGGGGGAGCGTCGGCTCGCGCGCGTAGACGAAGGCGCCCTCGTAGGTGTTCTGCGACGTGCGGCCGCTGTAGTGGATGAACTTGAACTCGGGCTCGTCGCGGGCGTTCTCGCCGATGACGGACCAGTTCTCCCAGAAGGTGAGGCCGAACATGTGGCCCTCGGTCCGCGCGTGGCGCCGCGGCGCGGCGCCGCCGTCGCCGAGGAGCGCGCCGGGCGCGCTCCTCTGGTCGAAGACGAGCTTCTCGCTCAGGCGCAGGGGGTAGGACCCCGCGGGCGGCCGCGGCATGGAGAACTCGACGTCGACGGCGAGCTTGTCGCGGCCCGCGGGCGCGAACGAGTTCTTCTGGCAGTCGAAGCAGTCGTAGCGGTCGTTCCAGCCCATGACCTTGTACCACGTGCCCTCCAGCGTCTTCTGGTCGAAGTTGGCCACGGGGACGAGGGGCGGCGCGGGGGCCTCGGTCGCCGAGTCGGGCCCCGGCGGCAGGATGGCCACCTTGATGCACGAGTTCTTCTCGATCGAGCACTCGAGCAGGTCGTTCATCGGCGCGTTCCCGTACTTGGCGAAGCACCCCGTGATGCAGGCGTTGTCCCCGAGGCACTTGGCCGTGCACGTCATGCCGCGCCGGCAGTCGCCCGTGTTGAGGCACGCCTTGGCCGCCGCGCCGCACGCGCCGCCCTCGGCGAAGCACGACGTGTCGACGAGCGACGAGTCGAAGCCCTTGGCGCCCAACGCCGCGAGCTCGTTCTCCGCGACGGCCGGCCCGCCCAAGGTCAGCGCCGCCGCCGCCGCGAGCGCCGCCACGGCGCCGCCGACGTCCACGGCGCCGCGCGACGCGGCGCACACGTGCGCGTGACGTTTGTTGTGTCTTGGATGCGTTGGCGATGGCGACCGGAGGCCGTAGGCCGTCAGGGAGAGGAGAGCGAGGAGGCGCGCGACGCGAGCCATCGCGAGGGAGGGTGCCGGCTGGACCAGCGGAAGCGGATCGTCGCGAGCGGCAGGCGAGGCAGGCGGCTTGCCGTCGATGTCGACGAGGATCGGGTCGTCGCCGAGCGTATCCTATATGTTGAACGTCAATTTACCCATGTTGAACCCTGCTGGATACGATTAACGTCGAGGACTGCTGCCTGCGGCTGGACGGCGCGCGCGTCGCGCCGGACGCGGTGGCCGACGCGGCGCTGTCGATCAGGCTTCCGGGGCCCTCGACTGCGAGCCCCCGCGGGCCTCGCCGTATAATCTAAGTTATAATCTTGAAGCTTAAGCGCGGCGGTCACAACACGCCGCAGGCCGTGATGCGGCAGTCCTCGGCCGTGTCGCCCCCGGGCGAGCCGGCGGCCTCGAGTTTGCGGACGACGTCCATGCCCGCCGTCACGCGGCCGAAGACGACGTGCTTGCCGTCGAGCCAGGTGCAGTCGGCGAAGGTGATGAAGAACTGCGACTTGTTCGAGTCGGGCCCCGAGTTGGCCATGGAGAGGAGGCCGCCGTCGCCGCCCTTGTGGCGGAAGGGGAAGGCCTCGTCGGCGAAGGGGGCGCCGCCGAAGATGGACGTGCCGCCCGTGCCGTCGCCGGCCGTGACGTCGCCGCCCTGGGCCATGAAGCCCGGGATGACGCGGTGGAACGCGTTGTGCTCGCCCGCGTAGCTGTACGTCGTCCCGTCGATCTCGACGCCGCGGCAGAGGGCCGCGAAGTTCGCCGCCGTCTCGGGCACGTCGTCGCCGAAGAGGCCCATCTCGACGCGGCCCGCGTGTTCGCCGCCGACGCTTACGTCGAAGAAGCACGTCTCGGTGGTCGCGGCGTCGTACGCGTTGCCCTCGGCGGCGAGGAAGCCGTCCCAGAGCTCCCGCGAGCCGCCGGCCTTGGCGACGTCGAGCACGAGCGCGAGGTTGCCGTCGTCCCTGGCGTCCTCGAGGGACCAGAACGTGTCGTCGACGACGACGGCGCCGCCGAGCGCGCCCGCGCACCGGGGCTCGTCCTCGCCCTTGAGCTTGACGACGACGGACTCGCGCGTCGGGTACTCGACGACGACGTCCTTGGCGCGCGTGCCCTCGGGCACGGGCACGGCGACGCTCAGCGAGTCCGCCGTCTGCTGCCACACGTAGCCCTTGCCCGCGCCCTCGGTCGCGCCGCCGGCGGACGCGCCGGCGTCGCCGTAGGGGTCGAAGCCTAGGCCGCCGCCGAGGTCGCCGAGCGAGTTCTCCGCCATGTACTTCTCCAGGTCGAACTCGTCGTCGCCGCCGCTCATGTCCAGCGGGCCGAGGTCGAGGTCGCCGCTGTCGCCGCCGTCGGGGTCGAGCTTGTAGGCCGAGATGTCGAAGTCGTCGTCGCCGGCGCGCAGCGGCCTTGCTCGGAGGGTCTGTGTGTGCGACGGCGCGAATGCATTGACGCTCGCACACAGTAGCGCTGCTCTTGCAGCCATCATCATCGTAGAGCTTCTCCGAAAAGAGCGAGTTTGAAGCTGTGGTAATTAAGGCAGCGCGCGCGAATGGCGCCGCCTCGCCGGGGCGCAGCGAGCTTTTTTGACGACGAGGACGTCGACGAGGCAGGGGACGACGCCTCGAAGGAGGCAGCACCGCCTCCGAACGCCTCCGATACCGATGGCGCCGCACCGGCACCGAGCGAGGACGCGCTGCTGCGAGAGCCAGCAGCATCGCCGCCGCGCGAGGCGGACGCCATGCTGCCGCCGCCGAGCGGAGAGCCCATGCCGCCGCGCAGAGAGCCCATGCCGCCGCCGATGGCGCCGCCGCCGCCGATGGCGCCGCCGCCGCCGATGGCGCCGCCGCCGCCGCGCGCGGCGATGGCGTTCGTCCGCGGCGACGACCTCAGCAGCGTGTCCGGCGGCGGCGGCGGCCTGACGCGGCCGCTGCCGCGCGACTGGCAGGCCGTCGCGTCCAAGTCGCGGCCCGGCGAGACGTCCTACGTGCACCTGCCGACGGGCCTGAAGCAGGCGCGCTTCCCCGAGTCGGCGCCGACGCCCGAGCAGATCCGCCAGCACAACGAGGCCGTGCGCGCGGCCAAGGAGCGGAAGCGGTCCCGCCAGGGCGCGGCGCCGCTCCTCAAGCACGCGCCGACGGCCAACTGGCAGAAATTCAGCCAGAAGAAGGGGCGCACGCGATGACGACGACCGCGCGGCGCCGCGTCCCGGAAATGAAACCGAAACCGGGAGAATATGATAGTCGCGTCCAAGCTGGGCCCAAAAGGGGCCCGCCCCCGTGCTTGACGCGAAGAGAAAGATCCCGGAGAGCGAACCCGTCCGCCGGAGCAATCCTACGCGTCGCGCCCAGCCCGTGGCGGAGGCGCGCTTGGCTCGAGAGCGCAAATGCCCCGACGCAGGTTCCTCGGCGACCGCGGTCGCGTGCTCGGGAACACGCCTGTTTTGTATAATGAAACGCGGGGTTGTGGTCGGAGGGTCCTGGGTCGTCGCTGGACGAACTTCAAGAAGCCGTCGTTGCCTCTTCGCAGAGGCTCTCGAAAGCTAGGCGCGAGCTAGGGCTTGCCCGGCGGCACATCTCACAGCCACCAACGCCATCATGGGCGCCGCGATCAACAAGGAGATGGTGGACCACGCGCTCTACGCCGAGGCCAAGGAGCTCGACGCGTCCGACACTAACCGGTCCAACGTCAAGTTCAGCTACCTGTCGCAGAAGATCGCGACGGCCCTGCTCGATCCCTCGAACATGCCGACGCTCGAGTCCCTCGAGGCGCAGTACGAGACGCAGGCGACGGCCTGGAAGAGCGGCGAGAAGCCGCCGTTCTGCATCGTCGAGGGCGTCAAGTACGCCATCGACGCGACGAAGTTCGCGGCCATCGAGGAGCCGGGCCACGTCTGCGTCTGCGTGCCCTTCTACTGCGAGTTCGAGCGCGGCTGCGCGGCGACGGCCGAGAACCCCAACGGCGAGGAGTCGCCGGTGCAGAAAATCGACGAGCTGCTCTTCCTGCTCAACTACAGCGACAAGATCACCTGCGAGCTCGTCTTCATCAACGACTCCATCGCGGAAAAAAAGGACGAGAAGGACGGCGGGTCCGCGCTCCTCTTCAAGACGTCGCTGCTGGCCTACTGCAAGGAGCGCGAGCTCGCCGTGGAGACGACGGGCGACGCGGCGAACTTCGACGCGCTGGTCGTCGCGGGCAAGAACCTGACGATCACGTTCACGTCCGTCGGCGCCGAGGCCGCCAAGGGCGGCGCGGCCGAGACGCCCGAGGCCAAGACGAAGCGCCTCGAGAACCGGCACCCGGAGACGAACAAGCTCCAGGAGCGCAAGGGCGGCGCCGTCCTCGCGGGCATGGAGCGCGCGCTGCCCGCCGGCGTCGACCCGACCCGCGCGATCCGGTGCCTCGTCGACGGCGACTCCGCGCACCCCATCGGCAGCTTCGTCGGCGACGCGGCCTACGCCGTGCTCCAGCTCGGCCACGCGGCCTACCTCGGCAACCTCAAGTCGCCCCACACCTGCGTGTCCGTCGTCGGCGCGGACGCGGGCGGCGGCGACGCGGGCACGCAGGCGCGCGTCGCGAACCGGAAGCTCTTCTTCTCCGGCTTCATCGTGCCCTTCCTCTTCCCCGAGCTGACGGGCAAGTACAAGTACACGGGCACGACCCAGCTCCCCGTCAAGGCCTTTCGGGGGGACGTCGACTTCGCGGCGGCGGCGCTGCCGACGGTGCAGCCGAACGTCGACCTCGGCATGCTCGCGCTCCTCGTGACGACGCTCAACGACAAGGGCGGCACCATCGACTCCGGGCCCGTGACCATCCGCGACAACATCGCGTCGTCGACGATGACGACGTCCGACCTCGGAGCGGAGTGGACGAAAACCTACGGCCCCATTTTCACGTCCGCCGTCGGGCTCGCGCGGAACCTCAAACCCAAGGACTTCGCCGACCTGCCCACGTGGCTCGTCACCTTCATCGAGGGCATGGAGCTCAAGCACTACACGACCCTCTTCGGCGACACGTCCACGCCGGAGGTCGATGCGTTCTTTGCGAAGATGAAGGACTTCCGCGGCGCGGACGACCGCGCCGCCGTCCTCGCCGAGCTCGAGGGGCTCCTCGGCAAGATCGCCTTCGCCTAGGGGGTGGCCCTCCGTTCCGCGCGATCCGTTTACGCCCTAGTCTTCGTCGTCCGGCGCCAAACTCCGGTAGATCGCGCCGTCGACGGACAGCGGCCCCGCGCCGTTGAAGAAGAAGAGCGCGAAGATGAGGAAGTAGAGCGCGGGCTCCTCGAAGTTGTAGGAGTAGTTGTCCACGTGGCCGAAGGGGAAGCCCTGCCAGCCCGTGCTCGCGAGGTGAAAGTAGACCGCGCCGGCCATCGACGCGAGCAGCGACAGCGCCGCGGGCCGCGTGAGGAAGCCCGCCGCGAAGAGCGCGCCGCCCCAGAACTCGGCGTAGTCGTGGATCGCCGACCAGGCCTCGGGCGGCCCGGGCAAGAACCCGAAGTAGGGCTTGACGATGAAGTCGACGAAGCCGTCGAAGCCGGGCGTGCCGTAGTTCGCGGGCCAGAAGCCGCCCTCGGAGCCGTGGTGCATCATGAGCACGCCCGTGAGCACGCGCAGCGGCACGAGCGGCACGGCGTGAATGCCCTCCGTGCGCTTCACCGTCTTGAAGAGCTTCGGGCCCGTGAGCCGGTCCCAGGTCGTCTCCTTGGCCGGCCGCGGCGCGGCGCGCGGCCGCGTCGGCACGCGCGGCGGCTGCAGCGCGGCGGCGGAGGCGACGAGGAGGAGTGCGACGCGCGGCATCCTGGTCACGATGGTAGCAGCCGCACGAGAGCTCACAGAGCACGCCCAGATCGCAGTCCTCGCACTGGTTGCGAGTTGCAGTCGATACTCTGCCATGTTGACGCTCGGCGTGACATCACTTGGTTGACTCCGAGCTGCCTCGCCCAGGTTGGGCACGCGATGCAGCGGTTCCAGGACTTGGCGCGGCGCTCGGTCTGTGGACCATGTCGCGCCTTGGGCCCGGCTGCGAGTCGCTCGGGAAAGACCATCGGTCGATGGGGAGCAACTTAGTTCGCGTCGGGGCAGCCCGTGGACGACGAGAACGGCGGTTATCGGTGGGGGGCGACCGACGAGGGGCTCGCATTAGTGCTGAGGTCCCGTATGTGCGACCAACTTCGAAGAAACACCCCCTGGAATGTCCCTCCCGAGGGGGCTGTCCGGGCTTGGTCGCACATACGGCCTCGTGCATTGCGCGGTGAGCACCGTGTCGCCCGCGGCGCCGCGCGCCTCTCGGAGCCGGTGAGGTGATCTCGATCAAATCGGCTCGAGTCGAAGAGCTGCCGCGAGGGCATCTGGTCGCTCCCATGACGAACGATTCCCGACGCTCTGTGACTCGAAGGGGACCGAAAATCGGGTCGGGGGAAGCTGCCGCGCCTCATTCCACCCCCTGAGGCTGCCCGTTTGCGTCGCCTCGCAATCGTCCGGATGTCGCGTCTTTTCATGTGCCTCACCCACATGTTTGCGGACCTCAAAGCCACTGGGATCGTTGCACGTCGCTGCATATTCGAGGAGAGAGGGCCCCTCTAAGGTGGAGATTCCATCATCGGCCGCTGAATACTCCAGCGGAGACACCGTCTCTAGCCCTCTAGAAGCTAGGATTTCTTCAAAGTTTGTCTTGGCTTGCAATAGTTCAAGCGACGGGGTATCCACTGCAACTCGCAACCAGTGTCGAGCGGCAACCAGACTTCAACGAGAACTTCAAGCTTCGAGCAAAACAGTCGAAATTTAGGAGCGAGCCAGGAATGCGCGCCGCGGCGCGGCGGGGAACAGGTGATTTCTCGGGGGCGGTTCCGCGGGGCGCGGTCAAAAGGCGGGCGTCCTCACAGGCCCGAGTCGAACGCGACGATCGTCGACGCCTCGACGAGCTCCTTCTTCTTCTGGCTGCTGTACATGCCGTTGATGAGCCCGTTCATCTTGACGGAGCCGTTCTTGTCCGGCGCGACGGCCATGTCGCTG